CTATTTTTTTAAAAGATCCCTCTAACTGGTGGCTGATTCCATTACACATTCTCAGTCCCTTAATGTGCTGCTTTCCCATGTGGATACATTATCCTTTACCATTTGCCAGCCTAGACCTGGGAGCAGAGTGCAGAGGGGGAGGGAAATGAGGAAGCCCAAGCTGCTGTGTGCAGTCACACTTTGCCACTTGGACACGCGGGGCTCTCACGCAGCGCACGCGTGCCACGAACACAACATGTTGTTCATCCCCCAGCAGATTCCAACGATCTCCCCACCACAAAGTCTGTAGCAGCACCAGCTCTGGGATAAACCCAAGGAAGATGGAGGGTTTCAGTCTCATTGACAGAATGAAATGTAGAGCTGTGACCCTTCAAGTGAGGCCATTCACTCCCAAATCACCTGGAGCTGGTTCCCAATAGCAAAAAGAGGGTAAAAAGACATCCTTTCTTAGATTTGCATCCCTCCTTTTCACAAAGTTTCTTTCTGGTGTTTCAGTTAAATAGAGGAAGGGGAAGAATAATTTTCTCCACAAAATGCAAGAACTATGTTTAATACTACTACAGCCTAGTCAAAATCCAGTGAAATGAGGACAAGTGGGATGGATATGTCCATGAAAAAGGATTCCATCTTTAGACCTCCAACATACACCTCTATAGGAATCACCTGGCACTTTGGTTTAAGTGGAATGACTCTGTTTGACTATATACTGCATTTTTGTATATAAATAGGATGGAAAAAATACACACCAGCAATAGGACAAGCACCACCTTTATTAGCCAAGCAATCATTCTACAGCCATTGGAACCACTGGTAATGTGAATAGACCGGTCTGCTGACTTAGTTCTGTTCCTTTTTTTTTGAATAAAAAGTTAATTTATATTTCTTTTATTACTTGGAATGTAGTTTGGATCTCATATTATTTATTGACAAAAATAAATCATTTTGTGGAAATGCTGAATGATGCCCACTTTCAGGTACATTAGGTCTATTGAAAATACTGTATCGAATCCAAATAGTGGTAAGAATAAAGGTTGGTGAGCACACCTGTGGTGGTATTTTTACTTTGCAAATGGATATTTTATTTTTTAACTATAGCAGAAAGAATGCCCTTTGTGTCATATCACAACTGAAAAATGCTTAAGGCCTCATAAGACACCACTGCAAAGTTTTCAATAAATTGTTATTGCACACAGATGAACATCTATCAAAGTTGTTCACAAATTTCCTATGTGAACTTTGTTTTTAGTGGGAAAAAAGAGATCAGTTTATGAGCTAACAGACCAAACTTGTAAATTAATGACATATGCATGTACAGTCAATACCTATGTGCAAATATCAAGCATAGACTTAATTTCAAAACCTGATCCTAAAGTGTTGCTAAAAGTGGAAGCATCAAGATGAAGCTAGGCTATAAAATAATCAAGATCAAATTTTTTCTGTTTATCAGTTTTCTCAGCTCAGTCTCAGTAAGCAGAACACTTTCATATGTTTGACCTTGCTTTTGTCACTGAAACAAATTCCTGACAAGATGAAGCCAATTCTCTCCCTATATCAACTCATGCAATAATTTTCATGCAGTGTCCCTGCTTTACTAATAAGTGAGAGGTATCTCTGCCTCAAGGGAAGTGAATATGAAGCCAGCTGACTGTCCTCTGTCCAGATATTCCCATGTCCTAGTGTGATTAGCACTGTCTTGTCAAATTTAGCTCTAAGCCATTTGTGAACACCTTTTTGTTTATAGTAGCACACTGAAATCTGCACAGATCTCTGTGTTTGTTTTTCTGTGTATCCTATTAACAGTGGACTACATTTCAAGATGTCACACTGCAGAAAGCCACAAAAGCATTTTTAATCAATTTAAACAAAATTTTTAAAAATTATTTTCATTCTGGAAAAATACTACTTGATAGTATAATTCTGATAAAACAAAATCCACAGTTCCACTGTTGTTAAATCAGAGTACAAGAATCACTGCAGAAGAATTTTTGTACTGCATTTGAAATTCTTCAATTGCAATTTTGTACAAAAATCCCTATAAAAATCAACCTACGGCTAAGCAGGATTGAACCCTGTGAATGACCAGCTATGATCTGCTTGGAAAGTGGTATAAGGAAATTTTTTAAATCTATAAACTTGAGAGAAATTTTCAAAAAGCTCAGGTATTTTTATTATTGCACAAGAGTAAATAAAACCATAAACCAAAATTTTCCAGTTTTCATTGCAATATAATAAAACACAGTGCATTAGAACCTGATTCCCAGCCTGCCTTTTCTAGAGGCAGTCTGGTTATATATGTACAACCAAGAACAACCTTCAACTCAGGACTACTTTTTATAAAGTAGAAATACAAAAAAGCAGGAACTAAGGCACAGAATGGGGAATATTGCTGTAGTCAGATGAGTCAAGAATGCATGCCTTGAAGGATACATGAAGGAACTGCCTCTAATGGACTTCATGTTGAATTTAGAGCTATGTATTCCACTACTGTATTAAAAGAACCAGTTTAAGGAGTATTCCATCACTCCCACTAGACCAACTATTTGTTCAGCAGTGGTATGTAGCTCCTACCTGAAGAGATTTTAGCATGATGAAGCAATGCACTGTTACTACACAGTGCACAAATTGCATGACAAAGCATCTTCTGTTCCTGATTTACCAGTTTCCACCCTGTATTTCAAGGTCAGTGGGAAGATAGCAAAATGTTAAGGGGTTTTTTTGTTGTCCATTTTTTTGTTTGTTTGTTTTTGTTTGTTTGTTTGTGGGTTTTTTTATTATGTCAGAGATAACAAGTTATTATTGCAACGACAGACTTCTGTATTTCTCTCAACAAATAGGACTGCAGTACTGAACTAAAAAGCCAAAACTCATACAGTGTGAAAATATGCAGGGGAACAACAGCTGTTAGTCATTATTTTCTCCTTATCCTTTCAACAACTCTCTTCCAATTTGCTCTCTAATGGGTAAATCACACTTTCTCCCTAGGACATTTTCTCATTTCAGGCAGGTACTAAAAAGAATTCTGAGAAAATTGAGTCATTGGTCAAAGACACCCCATCTTTTGTTGCTTTCACTGTAGACATTAAAACTAATTTTTATGCTTTATCAAACAGATAAAGCTGATGTTGTGTTCTCCTAGCCCTTTGTCACTACTAATGTGATGGAGGATGTTTCTGCTTTTCTTCTTTAGACAATGAGCCTTGCCACTTTTTTTCCCTTACACAGCCTGTCTTAAACTTCTAAAAAGAAGAAATGTTAAAATCACTGCTTTCACTTCGTTAAAGCCAAAGAAGAATCCACTACCAGAGAGCTTTTAAATATTTCTTTTTTGCTTTACCTCACCTGATGAGCTTCACAGTAGCTATTCAGAAAAAGAGAAAAGTAGAAACAGTTTTGCTTATGATCACACTTAGTTTATTGCACAAGTTACTATACTTTGCTCTATTCTCTATTTCTTAGCTGTGAGATGAATATGTACTGTAGCTTGAGCCTTTTGTTCACTGATTTTAATTAATCTCATTCTAGGCCAGAGTGAAAATGAGGCAGGGAAAAACACAAAGAGCTACAAACATTACGTCCTACTAAACTGGACTTTTCACTGGAAAATACATTTTCCTTCATTAACTCTTAAAGTCATAATTATCAATTTTTCCAAGTGGCCAAATGGCACAAACCTCCAAAATGACAGAGTATGTCCACCGGTAAAGTTGGAATGAATCACAGCACACACAAGCTTGAATGTGTGCACTCTTCCAACTATTTCTTGTTCAACACAAGTGGTTGCTTTCCTTCAGAAAGGCAAGTCAGTCTACATCTGGTTTTGACTTCAGGATGTGAAAGATTAACCTGATTACATTTCCCACATAGCTTCTAATGTGTAACATTTTTTACAACTGGTTCTGCTGGTACTGTTTAGTGAAATGGATTGTGCTGAAGATGTGGAGGAGGCACAAGTAGCTACTCTTTTTAGAGCAGCAGCTACTTGCAGTTACTCTTGGGCAATGCTAAGGTAGACACACTCCTTATGCCTCAAACTCAAGAAGTCAAAATATTATTCCAAGAAGTGCCTCAGTAATGTGGGTCTTTAACGGGACAATAAATTACCTGGGGTTTAAGCCCTCCTTCAACATGTAGGGCAGCTCCATCCCACCAACCTTCCTGGTCCTTAAGGCTGGTATTATTACTGTTTACCAGCTCTTATGTAACTTGTGTCTGCCCCTCTCACTTGCATCACTGACTGCAACCTCAGAAAGAAAAGGGGAAACAAGAATAATAAATAAAAACAGAAAAAAAAAGTTAACTCCCTCGGTACCGGGGAACATGAAACGGCAGGAGCTCCTCGTAAAACCTTGCACGTGTAGTGACAGCATCCAGTGCCAGAAGCGGAACGAAGTATTGGGACCACAGTCAAAAATAATTAAGGCAGCCTCGGTAAAAATACCCTATTAAAAAAGGAGGGGGGGGTTGCCTGTGCATATATAGATGTAAATATATAAAAAGAGCCACCACCGTTGCCTGAGGGGGAACACGTCAGGGAGCGCACTGGGGCTGGCGCGTTGTTGAATAAGGACCGCTGCAAAGGGCGTCATGTCCTCCGCCACCCCGGGACGGGGTCCCTTTGTCCGTGCCTGCTCCCGCGGGGAGCTGCCATCCGCGGGCGGGTCGCGGTGCCCACACGCAGTGACTCGCCGCTCCGGGGCATAAACAAACACGGCTGGAACAACAAAAGGCCGCGGTCGCGGCGGCCGGACCCCGCCGCCGGATCGCGGAGCGGCCGGGCACATCCCCGGTGCCGCCGCCCCCCGCTCCGTTCCCACAGGGCTGTCCCCGCTCGCCCCCCGGCAGCTGCCATGTGTCTGCTCGAATGCGATTAACACCGACTCGCCAAATCCCCCCCACGCCCGCTTCCCCTCCCCGGGCCATTTGGGGCATGCACGCGCCCGCGCCCCGTGTTTACACGGCGGCGCCTTCGCGAGGAGCCTTTTTGTGCATGGCGCTGGCAGATGAGCCGGGGGAGGTGGGGGCTCCGCGCCGCGCAGCGCCCGCCGCCGGCTATAAAAGCCTCCGGGCCCGCGGGCAGCAGCGATAAGCGAGCGGCCGCGGACCGGCGGAGGATGGAGGGCGGCTGCCCCTGCCCGCTCTCGGCGACGCTGCCCCCGCAGGGCTACTCGCCCCTCTCCTCCTCCCGGTGCGGGGGGCGGCCCGGTCCTGCGCTGACGGCTCTGCCCTCGCCCCGCAGCCCTGCGCCCTTCTGGAGACCGTGGGTGCCCGCGCCGGCTGAGGCGGCCCGGAGGAGCCCCGGCCCCGCCGCGGTGAGTGGGGAGCGGCGTGGCGGAGCATCTGCCGCCGGCATCGCCGGCACTCGGCGGGGGAGTCCCGGCGGGGCGGGGATGCTCGGGGAGGGCCCTGTGCCGTGCCGGCGGGCTGACCTCTGCTCTCTCCTCCGCAGCCTCACAGCCCCGGCGGGATGGCGGAAGCCTCCCGAAAGCTGGCGCAGTACACGCACCCCGTCAGGTAAGCGGCAGTCCCCGGCCGCCGCCGGTTCCCGCGGGGGACCTCGGGGCACCAGGGGCCCGTGGCGTTGTGCGGCCAGGAGAGAGTCCCTCGCTCGCCAGTGTAGTGGCTTAGCATTAGGTCTCCCGCCCCTTTTGCTTCCACGCATATATTTATGTAGATATTAAAGTGCCTTGGGAATGAATTGGTCTTCTATGTCCTTTTTAACTGACAGATCCTTGGGCAAATGATTGCCAGGACTCGCGTATTTAATATATTTGAGCTGTTGATGTGCTTCTGCGGTGTGAGACTTAAGCCCTATTAAACAGTTATGTGAGGGTTTTTTGGTGTTAGTGGAGTTGGCTGAAGAACCCTGTTACTCATTCCCGTACCCACTATCAAAAAAGGCACGGGGGTGTAGTTCCTAGGCTGTGTTGCTGCGCAAACATCCAGCGCCCTCCCACAGCAAAGAAGCAGGTGGAGGCGTGGGAGAGAGTGGCTGGAAGAGAAGGTATGCACTGGCTGAGCCACCATTGCCAAGGAAAATACTTGCTGCTTTAAAGATAAAGGCAATGATAGTATCTGCACTGTCAGTTCTGAAAAGGAAATAAAGAAAATAACAGTTGAATCTGTAGGAAAGTCTGTATTCAGAAATGCTGCTAGGTGTTGTAAGATGCTTAAAATAATTGAACAGGTAGTTTTTCCAGACAAGAAGTGGCTTTCTTTCAAATCTAGGCTTTCATCCTTCAAACAGTGATGCATTAACTAAACAACTGTACAGGCAGACTTCACTGTCACTGCTCCAATGCTTAGGTTTGAGTGAATGCTGTTGCAGGGAGCATTGGGAATGGAGACCTGTTACAAAGGTAACAGTGACTTTGTGCTGCCAAGGAAGCAGTGTTCTGTTACACAGTAGCTTAAAAAGTATTTCTTGTAATTGCTAGAAAGCCGTCTACTTCTGTTTCTTAAAGCATTTCTATTTTAAACAGTCTGTAGCCAGCATTTCGTTATGTTGTAGGTACTAGTCTCTTGGCTCTTGGGATTCCATGGTCAGTTCCTTCTAGCTATTTCCAAACTGCAAGCAAAAGAGGACAGTAGTTGAAAAGGAGCAGGAACTTGGAGTATATTAATTGCAAGATATTGTCATTAGCTGATAGCCCATGCTAGCTGTGATCTCATCAACATATTTTGTTATTTCTGGATACAACACAGACTGCTTTAAAATCTACATCTGTGGGACATCTTCCTTAACACTGTTGACTTCTTCAATAGACTCCACTCTGTTGACTGTTCTTGGAAAGACAGATGAAATATCAAGGTCTGATAACGCCTAGACTGTTAGCATTCCTTTGAATTTTACAACGGTGTGAAACAAGTATCAGCAACCAGCTAGGCTGGGGACCTCCAGTAAGAAAACTACTAATTTGATTCAAATGTATTTTTGATCCTGCTTGATGCCCATTATATTCCTTAGGAATACTGCCCAGTAGGGGCAGTACTACTTGGATCAGATCCCCAGGGAATACTGTTAATGAGTTACTGGAGTAGGAAGTTCCAGATGCAGAGTCCTGGGCTTTCGTAGTTTTGCTGCAAAACTAGCACTCTAAATCATCTTTGTCTCTTTAGACGAAAATAAGAATTCCGAGAATTTTTTTTCTTAATTGAATGTAGAAAGCAACTTAGCAATTGAGCATGTAAGGAAAAGCTCTGTTGGATGCTTGTTTTAGTAGAATTTCACTGTTTTTTGCATATGTAAAATACGTAATGAAAATAAGCAAATCTATTGTGCTACACTTGTTTCAGACTATTTTGGCCCAAATCAAGGTGCTATGATTACTTGTATCAGGAAGCTGAAGCACTTCTGAAAAACTTCCCAGTTCAGGCTACAATTTCCTTTTATGAAGATTCGGAAAGTGAAGACGATGAAGATCAACTGGAACAAGATTCAAGAACAGAATCAGGTTGCTGACTGCAGGGAAGACTAATGCTACTTCTAAGACTTAATTTAAACTGAATATAAATATGTATTATAGTATTTTTAAAGATAATTTATTTCTATGTAAGTTATTCTTAATAAAACTGAGACGTCTTGTAATTTTATCCTTTTTCCTTTGGTTTGTTTCCTGTCCTGGTTTAAGTGGGGAAGGTTTTGATTAGAATTTTTCTATCTGAAGTCCTATAGTTTGTAGATCATAAGTTGAACACCAATTTTGTTGAACAACAGATGCCTTACTGAAGGGCTCTATGGTTGTGACTTTCTCAAAGTCTGAGGACACAAGGAAAGCTTGTTATTGTGATTTAGTAGGCTCCATATGGAAGCATATCAAGGAATCATTGGATTAAGTATTCCAATTGTGTTGTACCCGCTGCTGCAACAGCGTTTCAAACATGGAGAAGAAAAACAATATAGCTGTTTTTGAAATGGAGAAAAGAGTCCAAATTCTCATCTAGTTCTTGTTGTGTAGAAGAATTTGCCTCACATCACTCGTGTTCTCATGTATATGTGCTGTGTTGTTATACATAAAAGTGGTAGTTTCATACTGCATTTGTTTGTAAAGTCGACATCAAGAAACGAGAAAAAAGTCTGAGTTGTCATAGTAGTGAGCTTGGTTTTAATAATTGAAACAAAGTTGGGCATCAATCATCGTGAAGGCCAAAGCCCGTAAAAGAACAACAAAACGAACCAAAGCTTTAATTTAAAGGCAGTGCCTCTGTCAGGTAGTTCCCGTGTACTGGACCTGCCCCTGCCCTGTGTGTGCTGCAAGCCGCGCTGGCTCAGCGTGCCAGCACCAGCCAGGGAGCCTTGTCCCGTGCTCCCAGGGCCCCGCAGCAGGATCGCAGCTCACCCAGAGCCTTCCCACACTTCAGAGCCTTCGGGGCGTGGGGTGCACCGGCTGTGTCTGCCGCAGCCTTCCAGCCTAAGCACCTGGCGCGGGGACACTTGGACGGAAAACCGATCTTAGTGCAGGGGCAGGCACCCCCCTCGCCCCCGGGGGAGACAAAGCGGCGGGCGGGGTACGCGCTGCTCCCTGCCCACAGGGATGTCTGGACTCGGGCGCTCTTCCCCGCACCGCCCCCGAGCCGAAGCCGGAGCCGAAGCCGCCTGCCCCGCTCCCGGCCGGGCCGCGGCCCCGCCCGCCGCGGCGGAGCCTGCGCGCTGTGTCCCAGCGCTCCGCCCGGCGGGCCCGGCTGCGGCCTGGCCCGGCACGATGCTGAACGTGACGGCGTCGGCCTTCCCCGCGTCCGGCTCCCAGCAGCGAGCGGCAGCGGGTGGCCGCAGCAAGGTACAGGCGGCCCTGCCGCTGGTGGTCGCTTGTGTGGGGGGTGAAAGGCGCCCGCGTTTTTCCCGCTGCGCCGGCGGCTGCCTGGCCTGGCCCTGCCCCGCCGGCCGAGCTGCGGGGGATCCCGGTCGGTTCCCGGCTGCAGCCGGGGCAGGACTGCCGCCGGCCGCCCCCCTGCAGCCGCGGCAGGGTCTCGGGCGAGGGGCCGGCTCGGCTGCGCCGCTGGAAAGCATTTGGTGCTTCTCGTTCGGGGCGGCGGTGATAACGCTTCCGGCGCTTCCTGCCCCGGCTGTTCCTCCTGTGCAGAGATGGAGGCTTTCACCTTGGAATTACTGCCTGCAGCTCATGCTTTATGTGTTGGATCTTTATCTTTGGAGGGGTTTTGAGAATACTTGTTGTCTAGAGACCTTGCTTGGAAAGCAGACTTGGACTAAAGTAGCATTAAGAAATGTTAGTTTATGTACGCTTTAGTTTTTTTTGCTTCTGTTTTTCCTGTGGCTTTGTAAGAGCACAGTTCTTTAACCCTGTTTCCTGTTGCTAAAGCTTGGATCAAAAGGGTTCCCAGACTATGGTCTTACTTGTTTACTATTCCTTTGAATGCTTTGAAAATGCTCAGAAAATAAAGGTTCTGAGGCATGGGTGTGTTTTCTGCAAGGAATTGCAAACGTGATGTTGTAAAATGTCATTCACTGAGTTGGTGTTTTTTAGAAACAGACATTCTGTGGGTCTCCATTACTCACCAGGTGCTGTTGAAAAGGAAAATGTTAGATAGAAGGTCTTGTTCTGCCTTTCAGGACAGGCAGGCCATGGCAATACTTCTCTGGAAAGCTACTAGAACTTCTGTCCCAGCTTTCTCTGGGTCAGGCTTCCTTCCGGTTGCTGTAGGGCTTGTGAAAAGTCTTAATGAATGCTGTGAAGGCGAAACTTGTCTTACCTGACCATGATTTTTAAATTTCCTTTCTTTATTGTTCGTTGTTTTCCAGACTGTATCTCAAATGGTTTGCCACCACAGGCAGACTTGGTGTCTTCAGTTTGCTTTGGGAAGAGTCATCTTCCAAATGTTTGTTGCTGTTCAGTAATTTCTGTGTCACTACCCAAAACATTCCCTTAAGCACCCTTTCTACTGAGTAGGGCTCCCAAATATCAGTGAATAATATGAGTTGGGTTATTTCTCTTTTGTTTTTGTCTGAGCCCTCCTATGGAGCTTAAAAAAGTGTATTCTTAGAATGGCTTTTTCTTCCTTTAGAGGTTGAAGTTGTTTGTATATTTGTTATTTTTTCAGGTACCTTTAAAACCGGGAAGGAGTCTTATGGATTGGATTCGGCTAACTAAAAGTGGGAAGGACTTGACTGGTTTGAAGGGGAGGCTGATTGAAGTTACTGAAGATGAGCTCTCTAAACACAACAAAAAGGAGGACTGCTGGATATGTATAAGAGGTTGGTTGTTGTGACGTTTCTTCTGCTTTTTTACCTGGCTTCTCTTTTCTGCACTTAAAGAAGAAGCAACAAAACTCAAAAAACAAGAACAAAAGCCACCCTCCAAGAGAAACTATGCACCTCCTGTGTTTAGGCCAGGTGTAATCTTGACATATTTTGGCATAATTTCAAGTAAGAGATTTTGCGTTACAAGTATTTTCTTTGCTTTCAAGCCTTTCAAAATAAATCTTCCAAATTGGCATATTTTATTTTATAGCTGCCTATGAAAATATTAAAACATAAGATTTCAGGTAATGTATCAAATAAAAAGGACTTAGCAAGAAAATTGGCTTTGAAAATGCTGACATGTACACTCATCAGTTTTGGACAGTTTATTATTTTGAGCAGTTGTCTATTTTAAGGTTTGCTTTAGAGCATCCAAAACCATATAAATATTAAAAATACTACTTAAACCTGGAGAATGGTCTTTAGGAAATAATTGTGAAAGCACACATACTACTTCATTTAACTTAGTAGTTCAAATGACAGTTGCCAAACAGAGCAACTGTAATCTCTGACTACAATGACAAATACCTGTGGTAACTATGCAATTCTACTTCTGTTATTATTTTAAAGAAATTGTAGCTCAGAAGTTGAATCATATGTTATACATTTAGCAGTGTGTGAAGGTGGTCTGGAGCTGTAGCTGTGGCTACAAGAGTATTTTCAAAGTTGCAAATGAAGTTCCTAATTGTCCTACAGAAAGAAGCAAAACATTTGCCCTGCAGTTTAGTCATTTAGAGGATAAAATACACTAGTATCACGGTAAATTTATTAGGAGGTAACACAAATTTCTGTGAAGATAGAACCAGTCTTTCTACAGAAATGTCCCATTAGCTACTCTGATCTTAATCTGTTAGTGATAACATTGATCTGGTAAGGAACAGCATTGATATTTAATAAAGTGTCATGTCTGAACTTCAGTGAATGAAAGTTAAGAATTTCTGTGTGAGGGTGATTGTATTATTGTTGAGTGTTAAAGGGGATAAGAGTGGAATTAAAGGTAAAATGTTATTCAATACTGGCCTTTGAGTAAAATAATAGTGCTGCAGTGGCATGTGCTAGTAAAACTACAGTGGGAGGAGAGCTAAAGAAATCTTGTTTGCTATGTTCATCTGTTCATTTTTCACTCTGAAAAAGGAACATCTACTGCAGACAGAATTATTGCCTAAAAATGCCTCTGTTTTCTTTTTAATCTCATCTTACCTTTACTGCTTCTCTGAGGCTGGTTTTTACAAGAACTCCGTCAAGTTGCCTCTGTATCTTTCCTTAAATTTTTCCAGGTCTGCCTTTTCTGTGTTCTCAGATGACTAGTGAAAAAAACATCATAACTTAAAATCACGGTAGCCCTCGTATGTGGACAGGTAGTAAAAGAATATAATTATGGAAAAGCTAAATTAGGTCTCTGCATTGGTAGTTAGACTGTGTCTCTAAAAGAAAGAGCAGAAACACATGGGAGCAATGTGAAGTGAAAGAAGAGGAACTAACTTGGTTCAAAACCCCAGTGTGGTCAGAGAAAGCTGTCATATAGGGCACAAATTTGTACGTAAAGGGGGGTTCACCGGAGTTAAAAAACACACGAAGGGTGGGTGTATAAATGATACTCCTTTTGCTCTAGAAAGTTTGATGGTAAATTTGAGTAATATTCAGGAGGCCATGGCTATGCAGAATCTTATAATTTATTGTGTGCAGTAATCGCTGCTGCACACAAGATGGCACAGTGAATACAGCCATCAGAACAGCAAGACGGTAAAGTGTGCAAGGATCCTTCCTTTGTTATTGACTGGATCTTTGTTGTTGGCTGGGGTGGTTGTTCTTGCCAGCTAGGATTGCTCCAAGTATGTCTGTCCCAGGCTCAGTGCTGAATGCCTTTCTGTCCTTTTGAAGTAGTTAATGTACACTTCCCGATGTCTTCAAAGCTTTTTCTGCAAGTGCTGGCACAGTTCTGTTTTTGGTAGCTTCCTGTTTTGATAATGTTAAATATCTTCAAATATTCAGGCAGGTAGGGATGCAATAATCATGTTAACAGCAATATGTTTGTAGTAATTTTTTTTTTTAATAGCTACATTCTTCAGGCTCCAATAGCCCAGTTGCCTAGCAACAATAATTAGACTTCATGATTTCAGACCTGTGAAGAAATGTTGTTTTATGTTGCTGGAAGTGTAGAAACAATGTTGAGCCCTTTTACTGGGGCAGATACCACCAGAATTGTAAGCCTTTAATGAGCGCAAGCTGTGTTAAGTTTCATATGTTGCTGAATCTGAAGAATGGAAATTTTGTTGCTGATGGTGACAGTATTTGCTTGTGTGAGACAGTTCATTCCTGTAGGCATTTCATTCCATGATGGTGATGGGTGATACCCAACTATGACAACACTTCAGGGATAACTTAATTTGAAGCGAAACTGAAAACCATTTTGTACACTAGCTGGTTCAATTTTGTCTCTTTTTAAACCTGCCTGTGATACTTTTACCCTCTAGACAGGATACATCATATTCAATTTCTGGGTTGAAGTCTTTACCCAAGGCAAGTGGTGTGGCACTGTAGGATTGGCATCTCCATGGAATAAGATAACCTCTTGTGCTCTATACAATTGTGTCACTTATGTTTCTGTTTTTGTGATTATGCCTACTGTTTGCTAGTACACTCTTCAGTTTGTGCTAACCTTTCCATTATTTTTGGAGACAGGAGTGGTTGTAGAAACGTTGCTCATATGCTTTTATGTTCTGTTTTCTTCAGGATTTGTATATAATGTCACACCATACATGGAATACCATCCGGGTGGTGAGGATGAACTAATGAAAGCAGCAGGAACTGATGGCACAGATCTCTTTGATCAGGTGAGAGCAACTGGCAGCAAATGACACCTGTTCACCATACTTGAAAAATGCATGTTTTGCGATTATTTTTAAGGCATTTCAGTGGAAATGGGGATTTGAACTTTTTCAGTCCTAAAGAAAGGCAGCAGGTCACTGCTCAGAATGACACTTACATGTGCTGGAAGAGACAGGTAGTTTAAACTTTGTATCAAAAGACAGTAATGAAAATGTCACTTTATGTTGTTAGAATTATACTTCAATTAGACTTGTTTTTTTTAGCAGAAATAGCAATAAAGCTAGCAAGAATTTGAGATACCACCTTCTTAATAAATTGCTGCAATGACTACTGTTGTTGGAGAGACCTATTTTTCTAAGAGTTTTCACTTTTTGAAAAAAGCTTGTAGAATTCTTTGTCTATTTACTTGGCAGCTGCATTATCAGAAAAAATGCTGGAGCTTCTATTAACCTTAACTGGTGAACAACTCACAAGATGACAGTTGGTCTCTTATTTGTTTACTATTTCCTTAAATGCTTTAAAAATGCTCAGAAAATAAAGGTTCTGCAGCATGGATGTGCTTTCTGTAAGGAATTGCAAAGTTTGTCTTGTAAAATGTGATTCACTGAGCTGGTATTTTTTAGAAAGAAACAGACATTCTGTGAGTCTCCATTACTCACCAGGTTTATCTGAGAAACTGTGAAAGAGCAGAAAAGAAATCTCCTTTGTTTCGGAAAGGAAATATGTTACCTCTTTACATGTCATGCGTCAGAGTATGTTCTGCCTTCATTTGCAAATATTTTTAACATTGTAAATAAAGATAGATAATGTTTTAGCTTTGTTGAGTTTATCCTTGGTTAATCCTTTCACAAATGAAATGTTCATTTTGGCATGATTCTTTGATTTCAAGAAATCTGTAGTATCAAGTATCCAGTACCAAGTTGGGGCTTGGAATTATGTTGCTGGGTCATTATATAATGTCCTTGAAAATAGAAGTCTTGACATCAGGAGTATTTGGAATAGCCCCTGTGGTTAAGTTCAGATATATGCTTGCAACTTTTTAATTTTTTGTCATGGGAATGGAAGCAGGTTTAGATCCTGAAGATATGTTTTTCACTGCTATTGTTTCTGGCTTACGACTTTTCTGTTACTGGAGGTGTTTGTTTTCTCCTCTGCTTTAGCATTCTGTATCTGTCAGATGTTTTCTTTTTTAAGAGGTTGGTAGATTGCTAGCATTCCGCAAATTTCTGGAAAAATTAACTCTCATTCATAATCCTTCATTTCTTTCTGTTACCTGTATATGAGGAAACTACAACTTGTTGATGCAATTCTTTATCTCATCTTCTTAGCTAGTCCAGTTGAAAGTTTTTCTTTTTAAATCTAGATACCATTCAAATTTGTCATGCAACACTTTGTTTCCTTTTCTCTTCTTGTGATGTTATCCTGGATGCCCTATCAGAATTCGCTTTTCTGCCATCCATTTCCTCTACAAGTTCTCCAGTTCTGGTCTGTAAAGCTACTGCTTTTTCTTCACTTTATTTTACTTTCTTAAATAGGGAACTTCCAAATGATTCAGTGATAGTAAGACAGAAGCAAACAGAAATATACCAGCTTGGTAGGAGGTGTTTGTTTGTCTTAACTATTATTCTTTATGTTTGTTTCTTTCATCCCTTTTCCCTTTACTTATCTAAACAAGACTAATAAACATTGTGGTAATGATAAGGTCTTTGTTCTGTTAATTGTGTAGCATGCATCATAAAAATGCTGTTCTGAAATATATTCTGTAGCTCAAGGTTATGATGTTTAGATATTGCAAAGCATAAATGAGTAAATGAAACTATTTTTACTTTTTTCATAATCCTATTGTTTCTCTTAATGCCGTGATATCTGTAATAGAAGTAAAAATAAGTACTGACTGATGTAACAGTGACTTCTAATGTGTTTAAAAAATAATCTGCTAAATGAATTATATTAGTCAATGTGCAGAAATGAACTTTTTCTATTTCAGTGCATAGAAAACATAGTAAGAATTCAAAATTTTATGAAAAAAATTTTGTTAATATAGGTTCATCGTTGGGTCAATTACGAATCAATGCTGAAAGAATGTCTTGTTGGGAGGATGGCTGTCAAGCCCATTGCTGCTCTGAAAGGTGAGTTGTTTTAAGAATGAAATATTGTCTGTTATACTTTATTCCAAAATTATCTGGAAATTATGAGAAATCCTAAATCACCTCATATTTATGAGGAGAATCTCTATTCTTGCGTAGAGTTGGAGGCTTTTGCATATATTAATTTTTTACATACCTGAAGATGAAATTGTTGTATAGTTGAAGATTTTTAGTAATGTACTGCTATGTTTCTTCTTTTGTTTTTAGTCATTAGAAAACAGCTGTGCATATGTGTTATATGTTTGTGTATATAGAAAAGACCTTTTACTGTCCTGCCATCCCTCTTTTTTCTTCTGATCCCAGATGCAAACTGTCATAGGCAGCTGTCATATTGAAATAAAAGTCAGTATTTTCAATCTAGTGATTTCAGTGCCTTCCATTCCTCTGGCAAGTTGCATATGTGTTGAGTTATTTGAATACACTTCATGGGCAGTTTTTCTTTCCAGGACACTTTATTGGGTCCTTTAGTTTGAGTTTACCTTGAGAAAATTTTGCTGATACAACAGACTCCTCTGATCCAGGAGAGCAAGAAATGTAGTATAGTCTTGGAATGCAGGTGATGGCTTCCAGAAACTTCAATCTTCAGTCTGCTTTTTGGTTTGTAGGCCACAGCCAAAATTTTCTATACCCGGGAAGCAGACGCTGTTACTTAGTATTGACAATTAGCAAAACTGCAGTGAGAACATGAAAGGATTAATGATTACAACTATTTTTCTCCAATTTTCTCTTTAGTTCATGATTTCAGCTATCTTGTTGCTCTTCAGCTCCTGAAGAAGTGCACTGCATGCTTGCTTAATGCTTAGATAACATAATCTTAACAGTTAGGTTGAGTTTGGTCTTTGTGTGAAGTGGAATAGTATTTTACATCTCCATGATGCTACGTAGCTAATTCCAGTGTGGAACTTTTAAGGTAAATGCTGCAAAGTATGGAGAAACCTCAGCAGCATTGCTGCCTCACTGAGTTGAGGCGTTACAGAAACATTACTGCTACTTTGTCAACTGAGTTAGAAATTTAAAAGTAAACATGCATTTTGTTGATTTTATTAATCTAACTTTTCTCTGGAAAGAATTCTTGTCATAGCCAGTCAGTAAAACATAAACACATCTTCCCCCCTGCTGGCTCTGGCAGTCCATTTTCTGCTGTTCCCTTTTTCTCCTTTGTTTGTTAATAGGACTGTCTGTTTTGCTGTAGTAAAATTTGAGGATAAAGGTTGTCATCTATATAAAACCAGTTCTGTTGCCTGTGTTGCTTTTACCCATTTCAGACTTGAAAAAACTTAATTTTGTTGATAAAGAATCAAACTGGTAACAGAACTACAGAGTCTGTAGACTATCTGACTCCAGATTTAGGTTGGAGAAGACCTCCAAGATTGAGTCCATTTTGAACAGTCACCACCTTGTCAACTAGGCCATGGCTGAGTGCTGTGTCCAGTTTTTTCTTGAACACTTCCAGGGATGGTGACTCCCCCACCTCCCTGGGCAGCCTGATACAATACTTGACAGCCTTTTCAGGGAAGTTCTTCTGATCTCCAACCAGAACCTCCCCATGCACATCCAGGAGGTCGACCCCCACCTGGCTACACCCTTCTTTCAGGGAGTTGTAGAGTGCAGTGAAGTCCCCCCTCAGCTTCCTCTTCTCCAGCCTAAACAACCCCAGCTCTTTCAGCCACTCCTCACAGGATTTACCCTCCAGACTGTTCACCAGCTTTCTGGCCCTTCTCTGGAATACTCCAGCACTGGACTTGCTGAAATCCTTCATTGTAAGATTCTCAGGGATTACTGTGATTCCTGTGAGGTTATATATCCTCCTCCTTTGAATTATCAAAAAGTGATTTACTTAGTTCACTATTAGCCAGCAATAATTCTAGTCATTTATCTTTTGAGAAGATCATATTCTGCAAAGTTTGCATTTCAGAATAGAAGAATAAATTACTAGTTAAGGTGCATGTTTTTGAATAGAGGATTAAATGGGACCCATAAGTATAGAGGGAAGACAAGACTTCAAATTATGGGTTACATTGCTTTCTTTTTGTGACAGAGAATGAGTGTTCAGCAGTAGGACAAACGTTGGTATTTGCTGTTTGGTGCAATCTCAGTGCAGATCAAGGAAGGCAGATGTAGGTTTGTTAGGGCATTGCTGGAAGATTTGTGATTGTTTACCTTAGGGTTTTTTCCTGTGGTGTGGTGTTTTCTTGGGAGATGTACAATGGTTTGCTACTGAACTGCTTAAGGAAGCTGAGGTTTGTCCTTGCACACTCTAGGCTGAGGATTTTTGAGGAAGACGAGTCTTTTGAAAATCTTGGTAATAGTTAATGTTTTGTCAGTTTGTATTTTGAGAATGCTGCTTCATGCTTTGTAGTGATTAAGAGGAAATTCTGAAGTGTCCCTTCTGTAGTGTTACAGTGGATCTTTGCACTGAAACATGTAGTGTTTGTACTTGCTGAGAAGTCCAGTGCCATACCCAGGCATATAAGAGATTATTTCAGAATCTCCCTCAGCAGACCTGTAGAGCATGAAACTGCTTGTTGTCCCTTCAGGGTGCTCAGCTGTAAACATTGGCACAGTCTGAAATATTTTAGTACTGCTGATGTTTCCAGAGACCCTTGTTAGTATGTGGTAACATAATCCCAATGTTACTTTAGTGGTTACTGGGGAGTCAGAATGCATGTTGTATTATTGTTAATTCAGCAAGATTAGACTGAGAGCTGTGATGTCATGCAAGGAAGAGAGGTAGCGCTGTGCCTTTGATCTATCTCTCATCATCCTTAAAATTGCAGTGCTGATTTCTGTGCAATGTATTAAAATGTAGTGAAATGAGAGTAGGCTTCTAAATACAAAAAATTACCTTTCATTAGAAAGAAGTTTTTGTGAACAACTTGCTCATCCTGGCAGAAACCATGAAGTGGTGTGTAGCAGAATATGCAGACAAATGTTACCTCAGCCAAATATTTATGGAGTATTTTCTTTTTATCTCAGCTAAAAATGTGTGGAGTATTTTCTTTTTACATTAAAATGGCACAACATGAAAGCCTCTGATGAAGGTTGTTCTTGAAGAGCTCTCAAGTAATTTTGGAATACCATATGGTTGGTGTTTTGCTCTATGAGCCTTTCTTAACTTCTCTCTTGCATTTTTTCTCTAACACTGGCTGGTGTTATGGAGAGCACTGGGAAGGATATGGAAGAACAGGGAAGAAACATTCCCATTTTGGTTTTCCTAAAAGGGATCAGGAAGAACAGATTTGTTTCTCCTACTTCCCAAACTTGGCTCCTGTGAGAGCATGTAAATTGGGCCTTTCATATAAGGACATTCTGAGATGTGCAATGTAGGGAAGGGCAGAAAGGGGCCCCAGCTATGTCCTGAGGTCTAGTTTTCCCACAGATTTACTGTGAACGGAAGGACATGTGGCTGAGAGGTGCAGTGCCTTTCCCATCAAGTTGAGCACCTTATAAATGAATTGATGTTGTGTAATGCACCTGGTCTTCCCTTTTTTTATTTTCTGCTAGAGTCGGTTGGTTTGGAATAGTTGTAGCATACTGTAGAATAAATGAAAAACTCAGATAATAACTTGAAAATAAAATCATTTGGCAGAGGAAGCTTATAGAAAAATTTCCTTTTTCCTATGTTCCTGCCAAGGATTGGGTTCACATTTCTAAGGATTGGGTTGGTCAGATTTGCAGTCTGCTATGTGATGTTGTGAGACAGATATCGTTGGAATTCTTAACAGATTCAGTGAACTTCTCAGCTATGAAGTTTATAATTGCACAAGATAATCTGTGATGGTTTTTTTGAAGTGTCAGAGTTCCTGCATTTCCTGTCCTTTAGAGCTGTGCAACTTTTGGTGCTTGTAATGTACCAATTTTTTAATTAGACTTACTCTTTTGGAATGGTAATCAGTGCTGCATTTATTTGTTACTTTTTGATGTCTGAAGCATCCTGGTTGTTCCGTTAAGACTTTTGTAAGGTCTACTTGGAGACTCTTGCTTTGGCAATTTAGCATGATGTGGGGAAGTACTGTAGCTTCTTAATATTGTGCTTGTTTTTTATTAATGCTTGCAGAGATTTCTTCTGCTGTATCTGAAGACAAGAAACAGCTTAATGGTAAGTTCTCACCTGGAGGAAAGTTGGGAGTGAATATCAGACTTATGTGATATCATTGAATGAGCAGTATTTATCCACACTTCCCTCTCTTTGCATTTGAATCCAGTAGTCAGGCTGTAGTGATCTGTGGAAATTTCAAAAGACAAAATCCTACCCAAGTATTGTGAATTCTGTGTTTGAAAGTATTAGAAGACTGCAGTAGAATAGAGTAGATAAGGGAGGTATGAGATGGACAAGCAAGGTCAGCTTGTCTCTGAAATGCCAGGAAGATTTTCTGCCCAAGTCTTTTCTATCCAGACAGGTCTTCCACTTGTTTTGCTGGATCTTTTTTTTTTTTTTTCTTTCTTTCGAAGTGCAGAATTTTGCATTTCCTTCTGAGCTTCATGAAGTTCTTGTCAGCCCATTTCTCCAGACTCTCTGCATCCCTTAATAACCTTAAGCTTCCATGTTTTGCCTCTTTGCGTCATTTGGTATTGCTCTGACTGGGAGAGTGTGTGCCCCGTAGGTTGCTAGTGACTGTGAAACAATATCAGCATTCCCTAACAGTAACTAGCCTCCAGCTGGACCTGGTATGCTAATCACACCTTTTGTGACTGGCAGTTCTACTCACTTTCTGACTGTGATGCAATCCACCGACCAAACCCAGCTCTTTCCAATGTGGCTGTGAAGATGGTGTGAGAACCTTTATCACTAGCTTTGCTGTCCCATAGGATTGTGCAAAGCTATGTCCCCTGTGATGTGCAGGGTTGTAATTCTGCTGTTCATCTGGTCACATTAAACTCTTCATTTCATGCCTGCCATCAGCCTTTGGCTTCACCCACAGCTTTTCCTTATTTGTGATCACCATGACTAATAGAGCACTTTGCTTCATTGGTTCACTGATCACCTGAATCACTGTCTTCTTCTTGCAGCGTGAATCACTGTTTTCATGTAGCATCTTACAGTTTTTCAAAATAATTCATAAATAACTTGGTTTGCCAGAATCTTCTGTTTTATTGTGGCTGTTCATATATTTCTCTAGACCTGCAAAAGCAAATAAGAGTATGCATGACCATGCATTCCTGTTATCCCTGGAGACCAAGCAGTTCATATAGGTGTCCTCAAGAAAGGCTAAGCCTTTGAGAAGGCTTTTATCATTAGGTGATTGGTTTTCTTTTGCAGTGATCTGACTGCTCTGACATTTAGCTTCCTTGGCAGCTGCAGATGTTGTGTACTTAGGAGTAATTAAGGATCAAAGAAGGAGTAATTTGACTGAGTTTTAATTGCTTTGGGTTAATTCTGGATGATCAAATAATTTTGACAGATTGGGTTAGACCAGAGTGGCTCTTTTTGTTTTTATCTACTTCCCACGTGTTGGAGCCACTCAATTACACGTTTAAGCTTTTAGTCATACTAGAAAACTTACTGGCAATTAGAAGATAATAATCTGAGTAACTGAGAATTCATGTGCTAATTATTTTATGCATAGCCATTTCAGGTTTGCAGGTTTGCCTTTGGCTTGAAACCAGCACTTACCAGCAGTTCAATCTGCAGCTTCCTCCATTATCATTCTATTTAGCTTTTGTGTTAAAACTGATGCAGGATTGCAGTTGCTTTTATCTATCTCTGTCCTCAAGTTTTTGCAAAATATGTTCAATTTCTATTCTGCCAGAGATTAGTACAACTGACATTTTGAAAGACTGACCAACTGTTGCTTCCCAACAAAGGCTGTTTCACATTGTTTCATGCAGTAAAATAGTTAATGTCTGAATTCTGTGAAAATTCCTAGCAAAGTGCTATATAGAAAGATTTAGGCTGCTATCTTTGCGTAATTGACTGACATGAAATTTTACTTGTGTATTAGGTTAGATCAGACATCTCAATTTGAATCTATTCATCTGAATTGTATAAACAAAGAGTTCTGTTAAAGGAAAGTCATTCAGATAACCTTTTTGTCTTTTTGTGCTTCACTATCATAAAGTGTAAAAACAGAAGCTAATAACAGATGAAACAGAGTACAACACAGGTACTGTGGTGTATGGAACTCTTAAATTCTGAAGTGCACCTCCATGTTCTAGAACACTGCTCTCCAAGAGGAAGTGCTGAATAAAAAGTAATACAAAATATATATAGTCTAGCTACCTGTGGAAATAAAGCCGCCAAATATTGTTCGAGAACACTTTGAACATTCAATTTAAAAAATCGCAAACAAAACATACCTGAGTGTTATTTATTTTACGCAAGCATCCCAGCAAATATTTTCATGACTCTCTGCTCTTTGCAGGTGTGCTTCCTGAGAAGAGAGTACTGGCTTCTTCTGCTAAAGATTTAAGTCCGAGGTAAAAGCCTTTGTCTGTCATTGTCTGTTGAACATTTTGTTCAAGAATTCTGTGCAATTCTTACTAAATACAAGGCAAGTTCTTCCATGGGTAGCTCTTGAAATTTCAGTTAAATGAATATAATCATCATATATACATCCTTGTATAAGTAGGAAAGTTGAAGTTCTGGTTTAAAACAACTTGCCAGAGGTTGTATCGGCAGATGATGGTTTTTTACTTGTTCTGTTGATTCCTATGTCTTGTGCTGTCTTGATTGTATACAAATGTATGGATTATATTTGCAGGCTTCTCACCTTGTTTTCTTGGGAAAACTCATGGAAAGTGTTTCCAATTTGACTGATTACTTTTTTGACTTAAATGAATTTGTCCATAAACAATTGCCGTGCCTTGAAAAAGGGCATCATGCCAAGCCGGAATATTTTGAGATGTGACAGCTGCGTTCAAGTTCCTGCAGTACGTAAAGCAAAGCAGGCCTGAAAGGTCACTGTGATAATGCCTGCTGATGTCACTGATGCGTCATTTTACTCCATGATGCCTTTGGTCCTCAAGGTCCAGTTTCTCACTTGGCATCAAAATCCCCTGGGGGTGTGTGTTCTCTGGGCTAGTTACATGCAGTCATAAAATACTGTGGCTTGTAAACCATTGGAATGAGGTTTATTTCCTGAAGTGCTCTCCAAACCTTGCTGCTTTTCTTCCCATGTGTGTCTGGCATATTCTGGCATGTGACTGGAAGGTGTGCAGCCTGAGATGTATTGGCTGTCAGGAGTGTTTTCTCCTCCCTTTGTCGCTGTTTTTCTGGTCCAGGTGTAGATGGAAATTACTTCCTGGCAAGTGTAACGCCCTGCAAATAATTAGCAATTGAAGGTTTTCTTTTCTTTTTTTTTACTTTACACTGGATTTATTACAAGGTTTGGACTTGGGAACATACGAATGAATGCAAAAACTTGATTTGTGGAGGTGAGGGGAACTGTGGTTTTGTGATATGTGCATCAAATCTTTAACTCATGGAAGCCACCCTGCCTATTTAATGCTTTTGTCTGGACTCAAGATTTTAATCATCCGTAAGCAAGGTTCATATAATACAAAGAGAATACATGTGCTTTTTAAGTAAAACTAATGCCATACAATTTTATCTACAGTGTACTGACTATCAGAATACATGATTAGATAGTTATTTTAGTAGTTTTGTCAGAATTACTGACTTTGAACTTAGTCTTCAAAAGTAGCAAATAATCTGTTTGGCTTGTAAAATTTTAAACAAGCTCTGTTTGAAGGCTTGGGGTTAAGTATGTTTTGATATGCTCAAATAAAAGATTTTTTTTTCTTCATTGTATTTTTTGTTTTGCAGTTACGACTGGTTCCAAACAGATAGTTTGATCACAATTGTCATATATACTAAGCAGAAGGTAAGTATATTTAATGAAGGAAGAATTAGAAGATCCAGTTGTTATCTAGCTTGAATTCTGGGAGAACTTTATAAAAATTGTTGTTTTTTTTTTCCCTTGGCTATAAAAGGACATGAATGCAGACTTGGTTATAGTTGACTGTCAAGACAAGCAATTAAGAGTAGAAATCATCATGGATGACCACTCATATCTTGTAGAAGTTGGTAGGTACTGTAATTTTACAGTTGAAAGTATTGAATTTTCATTCTACTGTATTAAAACCTGCTCATCACACAATTAGCATTTTACATGTACCAGTTAATATTTTATTCCTTTCATTAGAGATAATTAAAGTGCCTTGATGTAAAGGAGTTACATTGTTTATCAACTCATATCTTCATTTATTTAGTATAGACTAAATTTCTTACATATGGACTAAAATGCTGTAAGAAATTGATTTTAAAGTTGTGTAAAATTTTTCTTCAAGTGTGTTTTTTATGATTATTAAAAAACCCTCATTCAGAAGGGCAAGTGCAGTAATTGCAGACTGGTAGCTTTACATGAGCCATTGTTAAAAGTAATGGGAAAAATAATGTCTTCATCCATGAGACTTGTAGGAGTCAGAAGTCAAATTTCAAGGCCAAATTTTTGGTATTATTAGCTCACTCAGTATTCCTAGACTTACTTATACTTTGTGTATATATGATCCTGAATTAGAATTTTGTTAATGCTTAACATGCTGTTTGTTTTTATTTCAGACTTGGACCATGCAGTTTCAGAAGATGTGGCTGGTAATTTGTCTCTTGCAGCACTTCTGTATCTCTTCTAGGATAGTCCAGTCAGGAGCTGAACTTCCAGGATCCTTGTGGGTCCCTTCCAACTCAGGATATTCTAGGATTCTGATATCAGAATTCAATTTCAGTTGGGAATTTCAATTTTTTTTTCTGACTCATAAGATACTTCACAGTTTTTCTTACCACCAGGTCCTGACAGAGTCAATCAAACCAAGCCATAACATTAAATATTTTTTCTTAATTGTGGCATTTGGGCCTGTGAAAGTAATAAGCTGATAGTGCTCTGATCCCTCTGAGTATGACTGAAGGCTAAAAGAGCTAGAAGTTAGTTCTGTTGTTTATTTGTAAACTCTTCTTTGCTTAGACCGAGACTTTCTTGGATTTAATTGTTAATTCAAATGGCCTTGAAAAGAAAGTAGTAAGTAGTGGTAACTAACAATTACAGTAGACAAGGATTCTGGGTTCATGAGCATTTTTCTTGACCATATGGTTTGTCAAGCTGTCCTGGTTTCACGATCTGTTAAGCAAATAATGTGTATTAATTATGCATAATTTGATATTCTAATTTAAATAGTTAATTTCTTGTATCTTGAGAAATGAGTAATTGTGCTGAATTTCATTATAGTTTACGTGTGAAATATTTTTTTGTGCAAAGTTTAACTAAAAGTAACAATATGAAATCTTTTCTCTTTTAGTAAATATTGCTGAAAAAGTAGGGAAAGTAGAGATTATCTTAAATAAAAAGGATAACATTCAATGGAAAATGCTGGGACAGCCCCGTGAGGGTCATAATACTTTTATCAAACGCACAGACAGAGGTAAGCAACTTTATGGCCAGCTACCAGCTGTTTTAGGACTTCTTGGAGCTTGTCAGTTACATTTGTTTTTTTCCAGGATTTTCTTTTTCTATTGATGTACCTTCATTTCTTTCACAATTGTTGTCTGATCTTGAAAGCTATTCAGGAAAGCTATTCTATTTTCCTAGAAAGGGTTTGACTTGGAGAAGGGTTTTTTGTTTTGCTGTAGTGTCTGTGTTTGTTTTGTCCCACAGTGGAGTTGAAGGTGAACCTCATATTGGAAGGGGAGCACTGCCTGAGTGTTGTTCCATCTCATGGTCATCTGTGTGCTTAATGACCTCTCTGTCCATATGAAAACCTCAGTAGACCCTGAGGGGAGAGTGCATGGACATGTATCAATCATCATGGGAGTAACTGGAGTGAAGTATCAGAAACCTTCACTTGCAATTGTTACTGTAGAGACAGTAACATCTGTATCTACAGATGTAAGGTTGTTCCAGTACACTGCGTCTTTGTAACTTGAGCTCAGATTAAATAAGAGGCTTAAAGTCATGTGTAGATATTAAAGCCAGCTCTGAATAAACTGGTGTGTCTACAAGAAGCAGTAAATGTTACGTATGTGGTGACAGAATAGTATGAACTTGTTGCAGCACCAAAGTATATTGCAGTGTTCAGTGTGGGTTTGGGTTTTTTTGAGCTAGATTAAAAATTTCTGCACAGTTACATTGTGTAATATAACCACACTCCTGATGTTATTGTGGTCACCTAGTTTCTCAAAAGCCCTCTTGGTCTTCTGTCTAATAATGCTCAAAAATTGACTGTTGGATTATAGTCTGCCTTATTATGTGTGAAAGCAAAGCTGTGCATTTTTAAGAGCTAATGAAATGTTGCTCACCATGTTGTACCCCTCTTACTGGCCGTCAGTTATGCTACACGGGCCTTTAAATTTGAGAGATTACTATGGTACAAAAAGGAAGACTGCAGAAAAGCTCATCTCTCTAGCTACCTTTAGCTTATGTGGAATGTAATTTTCCTTTTGAGAGTTTCAGAAACTGTTGAGTCATCCGTTTTAAAATCAGATTTTTCGATATAATCCTCTGTATCTAAGGGGTTTCAGCCTGATCTAATGTGTTGTCCACTGTCTGTTGGCCATTTTCTCCCTCCTTATCACTTTTTGTGATTATAGTAAACAGAAAGAGAAGATAATCTGAAAGAACAAGAGATACAGGATATAGTGGCTTTATAGATCCTTTGCAAATGAGGAAGGTTAGATGCAGTTGACAAAACACATATTGAGCATTAGTAACCAATGCTTTCTAGATAACATCTTGTTGCCCTTTTTTTTTTTTTTTTGTAGTTTATTTTATACAGTTTTTGTGTATTACTAGTTCTTTTGGTAACTTTTGCTTTCTAATATAAGTAATCATTTTACCCAAAATGATTCCAGTTTGGTGGCAAGGCTGTGAATAGTGAATGCTTATGGGAGCAATGGTGTTTAATTAATTAGGATTTTCTTGTCTTTGAGATTTTTGGTATTTTTGTGTTTATTGACGAGTTAAAACACTTCCATTGTATTCAGAGCTCAGGAAGAAGGGCTGAAAACCAGCTAAGATTGACACTTGAAAAGTTTACTTGACTTTGTCTTTACTGCTTGTTGATATGACAGCATTCACAAATGAGTTTGTAAAGGACAGGTGCGTGACCACTACATGTGCAAAAGCATCTACACTTTATAAAGTTATATAATATTCTACAAAAAAAGTGATAGAGGTCTTCTTCAGGAAAAACTACATAATGCAAAGATGGTACTGGAAGCCTATGATATCTTTATTATATGAAGAAACAATTAACATAAACCCCTACTTTTTTTCTTCATAGGCTGGGGAAGTCATACTCCCAGATAAATTGCTTATGTACTCTCAAATTCCTGCTGAGTTTATACTAACATTTTGACCTGTGTAGTTCAGTTAATTGGAAGGAATGAACAGAATTGTTGACTTTCCTCAAAGTTGAAGAGGAGCTTTTTTTTTTCAAAAATACTGCAATTTCAGTTAATTGCACTGTGTCACAGGATGGTTGGGAGATTTGGAAGAATATTCAATACTGTTTCTACTCTTTAAGAAGGATTAAGTGCTTAGTTTTCTGGAGAAATAATTATTTATAACCCACAGTATTGCATAGAAAACACAATTCAGTATAGTTAGATTGTCAGTGTAGGGGAGTTGGTGACATTACTTTTGGGTAGCTATGGTGAAACTGGTCAGTAAAAGTGTAAACAAAAGCTTATGGTCATAGGGCTGACATGCTGTGAAATCTAAATACAGTATAAAAAGTAAGGTAGAGCTTTCTCATTAAAACTAAACAAACAAAAAAAAAACAAACCCCTAAAACCTGACCCCTTCCAACCAACCAAAATATCATATAGCACAATAACAGAGTGCAGGTTTTTATGTAGGTATTAAGATGTGATTTTTTTGTTGGTGCTTTTTCTGGGAAATAAGGTATGGAAGCCCACTCATGAGGGGGCATGCACATAAATGCAGTAGCCATATGCAATTAAAAAAACTACATGTTAGTAGGGATGAACTTGGGGGTGTGTGTGTGTATTTTTTCCCATGGAGAAAAAATAAATTCTTCCTTCTGAAAATGATTCTGAACTTTTACTCAAATTTGTGTTTTGGAAAGGAATTATTTAGTAATTAATAATTACTAAGTTATGCTGTTTTTAAAGAGTGTGCAACTACTGGCAGATGTTCAGGAAAGAAACAAGGTGCTGTTGCCTCTGAGGGCTGAAGTGGGATGCAATTTCCTTGTTTTGTGCAGTGGTTTTTGTACAGATCAAGTGGGAGATTTTTTGGTTGGAAGTACCAGAAGGGAGCAGAGTGCTGCCTCAGCATTTACTGTGTATCAGCGAGACTGACGCTGTGACTGGGTGCCGCGGAACCAGGCAAAGTTTAGAAGATACTGATTGAGTGGGAACTTTATTTTGGGAGGGGAGAGAGGCTGTCTGGGAAGAGCATGCCTGGCCTTGGATAATATGAGATAGCTTGTGAAATGTAGTAATTAACTGAAGCATTTGAGAGTACTGATGATTTGATAGTCAGCAGTGAGGGTTTGTGTTTGTCTTAACTCCTAAGACTGGGCTGCTGCTGGAAGTGGTAGGAAGCCACCTTCCTTTAGCTGTGGTCTAATCTCCATTAGCAGTACTATCTCCATTAGCATACTCCATTGGCAGTCGTAGTACTTGAGGCTCCATAACCAAGTAACCTGAGCAAAATAAGGATTAACTTTCAGCTTTCAGGTTGGTGGGCATGTTTGGGTGGTAAATGCTTGCTGGGAATGGAGTGGAATTCCTCTACCTGAGATGGAAGGGTAGTGGAGCTATTCATCTTTTTCCCAAGCCAACAGGCTAGTGTTGCCACTGCAACATCACTAGGATTATGAACATCACTAGTGACTAAGAAATAAGAGTTGTCGCTGAAGTTTTATCATTGAAGAGAAGCAAAAAACCTAATTAAGGAAAAACTCTTCAGTTCCCTTTCATGACAAGGAAGAATACGCAGTACACAGAAGGGTGATACTCTTCAAAAGCTATCATTATCTGTACAGCGGGTTTGTTACTAAAACTGAATTTGTATGCCTATAAATTGAGGTGCTGTAGTTTTTGATTCCAGCAAAGGTGGAAACTGAGGTTAGACAGTGGTGTCTCTAGCCCATAATTGTATTGGTTTTTTGTGGCAGGCCTTTGCTAGTGAGGGGCTACAGGGCTGCTTCTCCTGGATCAGGAGCTGCAGTGCTGCCACTTGATGTCTGCAAAATGTTTAATCAAACCTAATCTCCTCACAAACAACCTTGGTCACTTGGAAAAATTTGGATTTGCTGCTGGACACTGACATTGTGATCAAAATTGAGAGAACAGAACCTTTCGCTTCTGTATAGTAGCAAACCATACGTCTTTGGTATCTGACAGTAATGTGGCTTTGTGGGTTGACAAAAGCAACTGTTTGGCTTCAGCTTGCTACTAGGGGCTAGCTCCTTTTGTTGAAAGGCTTTTCTGCTTTGACAGTTATTTTTGCTTGTGGCCTCGGATTGTATAGGAATGAGTGATAATGAACTAATTTTAGTTAACGTAGCAAAGACTACAGTCTAAACTAGAAGATTACTTAGAAAGTTTTCAAAAGTTAAATTGAATGAATCAGGACAAAAGTTCTGTGTGGCAATTGTGAAGACCTGTGTATTAGAAATAGGGAGGTAAAGGTTATTTATGAGAAAAAGGCTGGAATTAGTCAGGTTGGAAAGGTGAAAAAAATTGTCAGGGAACAGTGAATCAGTTGATGAATCAGTTTTTTAACTTCTTTCTCCACGCCCAAATATGTGTAAGAGTATTAGCTGATGAGTGTTAAGGGTTGCATTGCCAACCTCACACATCCTTTTAAGCAATTCTTAAGTCTGCAGAATTGACAGCAATCTTGGCATATTATTTGACTACTACTGTACTTTGCAGTCTTGTTGTGTATTGTTTTTCAAAAGGAGGATAGAAAAAAAATTTCCACAAACTTTTCATAATATTTATGTAGTTGGAGAGATGCTGATGTTTTGTTTTACTTCAAGATTGGTATGAAGTAGAATGACTGACTTTACTTTTTCAGTGCTTTAGGCATTCTTTTGATTCATCTGAAATGCTTGTTCATTCAAAATAAGGGATTTGTAGGATGTTAGATGAAAGATGTGATAAAATCTTAATAAAGAAATAATGATTCCGTGTCAGAAGCTTTACGTCATGTTTCTGCAGGCATTTGCAGTGGATAACTCACTAGCAGCTGTTTGAATAATTTAGGAAAACCAGTGTATGCAGAAAAATGCCAATTTTAGACTGACTTAGTTGAAGGGGAGCTCTGGAAGTTATCTGATCTAACCTCCTGCTCAAAGCTGTTCAGTCAAGGTTTGAATACTTCCAAGGACAGACTCCCTCTGAGCTTCTGCCCCAGTGTTTGACCAGACCATCCTCATGGTGATGCCTGGTTGGAATTTTCTTTGCATCTTACCCTGTTTCATGAGTAGCTCAGCTGTTCATGTGAGCAACATGAGTATTTTTCAATACCATGAAAAAAAGGGGAAAAAAAGTTGCTTCACTCAAATTGCTCCATTGTAGAATGTTGTTAGAAGGGTGTCATGCTCAAGTATTCTCATACATGAACTTGCCAAATTTTGAGAGGCTTTACATAAAAATATCCACTGGGACTAGTCACAAATTGTACATTGAAAATGGCAAATGACATGGTGGCATTATTGTAGGAAGGGGGCTTCTTCTCTCTGCCTTTTTTTTTTTTTTTTTAATTATTTGTCTTGTTTTGGATGTATGAAGTTTAGATAATGCTGCTCATGGGATTTTGTTGCTTGTTAGCTCTCTTTTTTTTTTTTTTTTTTTTTTTAAATTCTTTGTAGAGCTTCCTAATAGAGTACCTAATAGCCCCTGAAAGTTCCCTTGAGTTGCAAACCTGTTTAGGCAGTGTGGTGCTGTGACCACACTGATATTTCAGGTTGGAGCTAAAATACTGCAGTGCTGAAACAAAGGCCTGGCTGAAAAATGCTCTCCTAAAGGTAGAGGAGAAAAAATAACTCATGATTATCTTCTTTACTGGAGGCTCCTATAAGCTCCCTGGAGCTTTCTCTTCTCCAGGTTGAAGAACCCCAACTCTCTCAGTGTATCTTCACAGGAGAGGCTCTCCAGCCCTCTGTTCATCTTTGTGGCCCTTTTCTGGACTTGCTCCAGCAGTCCACATCCTTCTTATGTTTGGGACCCCAGAGCTGAACATGGTGCCCCAGGTGAGGTCTCACAAGAACAGAAGAGAGGTGCAGAATCACCTCCCTCAGCCTGCTGGGTGGCTGTGGGCAGTCTGTTGCTGAGGAGTGTGATGCTGTGCTGGCTTCTGTTTCATTTGCATCCCATCAGATGCTTTTGGTCTGCTTAGGTGTGTACCCGTGCTGTACTTGTATGGGGAGCTCAGTGCAGGTGCAATGTGGTACAAATGCTTCTGATAGTTTTTGGTGCTTTTCTGCTTATCCCAGTCAATAACTCAGAAGTTCTTAAAATAACATTATAAATGAGTCCTTAGTCCAAAACTATAAAAATTATTATAAATAATTATACAAGAAGCATCTATTTATTGTCTTTTTATAAGTATATAGGGAAATACATTTGTCTCTCTTATTGAAAGATATATAATAACAGAATGACATTGAGACTTAACTAACAAATAAAATGTTTTTAGGACTGTTCTACAGAAAATGCAAGTTGGTTTCTAAGACAGAAGTTACCCATGACACCAAACTCTTCTGCCTAATGTTGCCTAAGGGAACACATCTCCGTGTTCCTACTGGACAACATATTTACCTCAAGCACATCATTGCAGGTAAGAAAAATTGAGAATGTAGTAGTGGATATATTTACATAAATCCTTTTCATAGTGTTGGGAAAATGCCAAGTCCATGGCCTCTAACTCCCTGATTGTTGTTAGCAAGTCTCTGCTTCCAGGGTCACGATCAGTACTTAATAATGAACTGACTGGATTAATATTAATGGAAAGCTAATTACTGAGATGGCTGGCTGGTGACCTTATTGTCTCTACTGCCAACTCTCCCTTTAAAAAACCAAAGCAGTGCTGTTCTTCTTTGAAGTGTGGGAAGGTTATTGTATATGTCTTAGGTATCATTAGTCAGTTCCTTTTAGTTTGCAGGTATTTTGAAATGAGGAGGGTATTGTTGCAATTTTTTGGGTTTTTTTCCTTCTTCTGAGGGATTTATAGTAGTCATGGTAACACTGCTTTACACTCCAGTTGTGCAATATTAACAATAATGTGAGATTATGAGAAGAATGTGTCTTGAAAATCACGTGCTTTTTTTCAATGTGCTATTCTTCAAAATTTTGTGAAAGCTTAGAAAACAGAAGGTCAAAGAAATAGCCAATTTATTATTTTGAAGGATACTTCTTAAAATTTGCATATTAATATTGTACTGGTCACTGTACTTGGATTGCGTATACATGGTGGATACTTCTCAGAAGAATTTTTAATTGAGAACTGTTTTGACCTTCTCCTCCTCCTCCTCCCCCCTTCCTAATTCTTTAGTAGTGTCCAGCTCTTGAGATATTACTGTCATTATACAGTAGCTTTTTAAAATTATACTGCAAGAAAATTTACTTGTGCAATATTAACAATCTGCTGTTTAAATTTGAAATAACTCAAGCTGTGGTACTTGAAAATTAATGAAAATGTTTAGATTTTCATATTCTTTGGGGATGACTCACGATCTTTTCATCCTGTGTCCTGAATTGCTAAGTAGTGTGGAAATAACATGCTCAAGTTTTTAGCTGGAAGTAGAAGGCTTCCAATTCTGTAATAAAAACTGGTGCAGTGGAAAGTAATAACTTGAGTAAAAGCATGGGATGGTTTTATTTTTATGGTCTATATGGGTTATTTATTTACTCTTTGCTTATTTTGGTATTTGTAGTATCTGGATGTAGAGTACTTTTCATATTATTCGAGCTGTATTTCTGTCTATTCTCTAGGGACAGAGGTAGTAAAACCATACACACCTGTGTTGCCTTTTTTGCCACTGGATTTCCAAGAACCACCTTGCCATGATGGTGTGCATCTATATTTAATGATTAAAATTTATTCCCATGGACTGTTCACACAGGCACTTGACCACCTACAAATTGGTAAATATATGCTAAGGGGTTGTGTTTACTTTTGCAACAATTACATTATTTTTAAAGATTCACTGTCTGAGTATTGTGACATTCTGATTGTTTACCTACTTAATCAGGACCTACTTAAAACTTCTTTTAAACCTTATTCTCCATTCCCTGAGTGTAAAGGCTTGTCCTCACTGTAACTAGGAGTTGTCCATTACAGAAAGCTCTCTCCTGAGTGATGTATGTGAACTGTATCACACATCATAGTTGATGACATTGATGTCATATGCTCTGGGAACAACTTTTGCAGAAAGAAAGGAGGTCCATTTTATGGGACTTAGGATGCACTTCCTTTTCCATTTCAGATACAGAGGTAGATTTTTAACACTGACTTTGCAAATGTTTGTGTTCTCATTGTGTAAAATCCATCAAGACATAACATTTTATTTGTACATCTCTTCTTTTAACAAGAATGATCTCTATGTGAAGTGTATAATACCTTTCTGAAAGAAGTCCTAATATTACAAAGATGAAGGCAATATGAAATAGCCTTTAAAAATCAGAATGTTAATTAGCTTGTTTTCATCAAATTAATGTTTACTTTTTAATTTTTTAAATAAAGGAGACTGTATTTCTGTCAGCAATCCTGAAGGCAACTTCAAGAAGTCACAAGTTCAAACTTCAGAAGATCTCCTTTTATTGGCAGGGGGAACAGGTTTCACACCAATGGTTAAGCTGCTGAATTTTGCTCTGACTGAAGTTAGCTGTCTCAGGTATGTGGACTTCTTGACACACAAGCTTCAGTGTTAATGAAACAGTTAACAAAATGAAATAGTATGAAAATTTTTCTTCAACTTACACCAAAAACTGGCATGCTTTAGGGAAGAATCTGTCAGAGGTGAGGCAACTTCTACTTATTTCCTTGTGGACTGCCATCAACATAATGACCTGATTTGCATTTAAAATTTTAGTTGTGGTACAAATGAGCTCACTGAACAGAAACTTTGAGGAATTTTTTTTTTTTTAAATTACCTTTACAATTGAGTGTCTTTTTTTAGTATGGAGATACTACAATGTAGATACTGAGTTTTGGACTGAGGAGGGCTGCAACTGTTTACTTACGGCTTCTCTCTGATCCATTAGAATTGTTAGCTAATGGTTTTCACCTGCTAAGCAGCACTAACACGTTGTTCCCAGGTGAGTTCCAGTTTTCACAGAAGATTTATTTGTCACTTATGTAAGTACAGCATTATGTATATCTGAATTCATGAAAAGATGTGTATTGTATATGCATTCTGTACTCTAAAAGAAGAAAGCATTACTTGTTCTTGGTCAAGAGAACAGGTTTGTATGTCTTGCAGAACTAGCACTTCTGCGTCTAAAAGAAGAAAGCATTACTTGTTCTTGGTCAAGAGAACAGGTTATGTCTTGCAGAACTAGCACTTCTGCATTTGAAACATAGATTAATTGTACACTAATCTTCATACTAAAGCTACAAAGGATGACATAGACTGCAAAAGTTTGTTTCTAAAAAACCAAACTCTAAATCCAGACACTGTTCTTAGATTGTTGCAGCAGTTACATATAATCCTGTTTTGTGAGCAGAGAGACTGTACTGTTTGGTTCTTCCAAAGTGTCCTGTATTGTTGGTAGCAGATAAAAAGTGGCTGACTGGCTTTGTGACTGGGTTTTTTTTTTAATCATCTGACAAAGTGCTTGGGAACACATTTTTAGCTCTTTTCAGCACAATTTTATATGGGAACTCAGTGTTGGTTTAAGGTGCAGCAGCATCTGTTTCCTCACTCGTCAAAGTGAATGAATTTTTCCTTCTTGCTGTGGAGGCTGGTTAGGTGCTGGAGTGACTTGAACAAAGACAGGTTCTATTTATTTGTAGACTCTTTAAGGCTTTGGTTTTCTGACTGTTGTAGGCAATTTGGTTCCTTGCCCTTATATTTGCTCTTTAATCCTAAATTTATTTTTGGGAAAGTACTACCAGACTGTCTTTAGTATATGTATCTTTATCTGTATGAGATACATATGTGTGTATATATATATATGAGCAGTATAAATCTGATTTGCATAGAATGATCTTACTTTGTAAAGTAACTAGCCACAGCTTGGATTGTATATGCTAGGACACAAATTGCAGAAAGCTGAGGAATAATCTGTACAATGATAGACTTTTCTCTTGAGGGTGCCAAAGCAACCTCTGTCTGCAGTGGTGGGTGAGTGGTGCTGAACCTCTGGGGCTGCACTGTGAATGCTGGAGAATCTTCAGCTTTCCTGGGCAGTATTTGCTGTAATGGGCTTAGATAATTGGATTTTCATTCTTATTGTCTTGACAAAGTCTGCCTATTATCTTGTAAGTCTATTTCTTGCCTACTGTAAACGGGTGAAACAATTTGTTCCCTTCATAGCTGCACTGTCCTTTTGTGCATCAAGTCATGATGCTTTTTCTGTAGCCTCGTTTCCTCTCTTACAGGCCAAATTGTATTTGGCCAAGGTATTAACTATAAAAGAATATTGGTGCTCTATGCTTCCTTTTTCCAATGAGGATTTTTTGCTCCTTTTACTGGCTGTGTATACCTGCAGTCAGGTGGGTACATTTCTTAAAGAAGACTGAAGCACAAAGGCACTAAACTCCAGGTAGGGGACTAATGCTCTTGTCAAGTATAGGATGCTGGTAATCTATTCTGGATTCTCCTTGATTGTTGTATCATTGTCTCCACCTTTTCATTCCTAAATTACCCCTCTGTTCTCATATCAACTTTTCATATAATGTCCCACTTTAATCATCATTCTTGTTTGGAAAGTAATTTTTTAACTTTCTATCTCCTCTTCTTCCTCCATTTTAAAATCCTTTAAGGGGTCTCCAACTCCTCTTTCTGAGCAGTCTTCCATATGACCTTGCATGCCAATGTTTTTAGTTCAGTAAAATCTACATCCCTTGAAGTAGTTTCCAATATGTTAGATTCACTCTCTTTCCTTACAAAGGGCTGATGAAGCTTCTTATTTGTTATCTAAATTTTTGTCATCATTCTGTCAACCAGCTTTTCTTTACTGGTGGGGAACATATCTCAATTTCCACTTCTTCATTTTAGATGTGTTCTCCCTTATTTCCAGCAAGACTGACCAGTTTATTCCAGGTTTTTAATTTTCTATTCTTTATAGTGCTGAGTACTGAGCAGAACTGCAGCAGCTACCTTTGTCTACCCTGGGAAGTACCACTAAGGGTGTCTCAAAACATTATTCTCAAAATAACTATTTTCTACTTTTGTGCCCATGAACAAAATGCATGGCTTTCCTATGCACTTTATTCTATAGACTTTTCCCCCACCTGAGTAACACTGATGCTGTGGTGCACCATGCCACCATTTGGAGCACTACTTTAGTGTAATGGGCTTTATTTTCCATGTTTTCAGAGAAGTGTGCCCTGGGAAGCATGTAAAGGTTCTGGCACATTCTGGTTCCTGAATAAGATGATTTTAGTATTTAAAGATGGAGCATAGCTGATTTGGGGCTTGTCTATACCAGGCAAGGTTTTCAAAGGTTGTGCAGTGTGCTTCATTTTGACTTATAATGCCTCTGGAGGAAACAAAAAATAAGTAAAAGGTTTCTGTATGATGCATTACATTCTGATCCTTTAACAGAAATAATCTGCAATTAATTTTCATTTTTGTTTTGTTTTCTTAAGGACAGTGAAACTGATCTTCTTCAACAAAACTGAGGATGACATACTCTGGAGAAACCAGCTAGAGCAATTAGCTCTTAAAGATGAAAGGTAATTAAAAGTTTTGTGGAGAACAACTTGTAACATCTCTGTGTACAGAAGAAGTCCTGGGGTTAGACTAACTGTTCACTTTGGCACAAGGACAGATTCTGATTCTGTAAGCTCTTAGCTAAGAATATGAGGAGACCTAGGGAGTGGAAGGAGATCCATTGCTCACAGATGCATAGCAGAAGCTATGTTGTTAAGTTCTGTAGGTCCCATGGGAAGCCAGGGATTTGATTTACAGTGTTTAGTAGATGGTTATTGGAGATGATATGTTAGAAGAGATGATTTTTAAAACTGAGAAGCTTTTTGATGCAGAAAAAAATTTGCCTTAGCCTTAACTATCAAAAACACAGTTATGCAAAAAGGAGCACAGAAGAGAGAAGGATAATGTGCCCCAGGAGAAACATTATGAATTTAGAGACGTCTTCTAATAATCTTTTTGGTGTCACTGGTTATGAAAATGTTTATGTAGAAATTCAAAGTTTAAATAGGCTCATTACTTTAATTTTTTCTTAATAATTGTTGCATTTTGTCCTCAATTACTATGTAATTGCAGATTAAAATGCAAGTAGTGCACATGTAATGTTAAATTAATTCAACAGTCCATCATTCTGTCAGGAAACACAGGATTATCAGGTTACCCTTTAATTTCAGTTCCCTTGCTGTTACCACAAGATAAATTATCACTGCTTAGATTTTATGTGATAAAAATATGTTTTGTTTATGGTTAATTCTTAGTTGAATTCTTCCTCAGTAGAAACCACTTGTTCTTTCACAACACTGAAGTGAAAGATCAATACTATTTCATACCCTCTTGATGTCTGGCACATTGAAAGCTTTGTAGTCTAGACATTGTGCAAATTTACAGTAAAAGCCTGTTTTGCCTTTCTGTAGGAGCCTCAGATACAGAAGTGCTTGGTTTTTACTTAGTTACTATTCTGTTAGTGAGTTTTTGAAACTAACATTCAGTAATGAGTATTTTCTATTACTGAAATTGTGCTGACATTTTCACGAGTTTGGCCAGGCATTCTGATCTCACTGCTTGTGTATTGAGCTACACCAATGTTTGTGCAAAAATGCTAATGGAGCAGTAAAATCTGTGCTTAAGAATCTTAATTGGTGCCAGCTGGGTTTTTTGTAAGGTGAAATAGAAAGCTGGAATTTTTAACATTGAAATATTTGGTTAAATAAATAAGCAATATTGGAAGTGATTTGACTGACCTGATCAGTAGGAATGACTAAATATATGTGAGATCTGATACTGCAAGGGGGAGCTGAGCAGAACTGGAAGATAATAACAGGAAACATCAATGTCTTGGTCACTAGCATTTAGTGTAGCAGATTTCTAATCAGAAGTAATGTTTATGAAATATTCTTCTGCTTACCAGGTTTGAGGTTCAATTCATTCTTTCACAACCATCAGAAGATTGGGTAGGTAAACAGGGGAAGATTTCTCCATCTCTTCTATCTGAGTTTGTGAAAAGAAGTAGAAGAGACTCCAAAGTGCTTATCTGCATCTGTGGTCCAACACCTTTTACAGAACAAGGAGTACAGTGAGTATTTTGAATAATGAACTGGAAAGCGAGAAAATTTTTAGAATTTGATCACCTAATCACCTGTAGTGTTTCTGATTTGGTAGTCTTTAAAAAAACAGCCTTATGTTGTGTGCTTTGTAAGAAAATTTTCAAAATTAAAACAAACAAAAAAAGGAATTTAAAAAACCACCTGGCACCATACTTGAGGAGTATATTTATATTTCCATGTAGCTAAGTAAGTATCAGCAATATATGAGTTTCATGAGTTCACTTAGTACTTTTTCCAGAACTTTCTAAAACCGACTCTTTAACAGTGACCTTTTTTGCCCAAGGTTTTAAATGCTGCTTTTAATTTGACGTTCATAGAAAAGTTGTAATAATAGGAAATAAGCGTTCTTTGTTGGTGTTAGCTTGATAAATTAAGTTACAGAAGTTCAAAGCAGTTGTTCAAGTAGAAGCACTTTTCTCAATTATTTTTAAATGAATGCATTTATATGTGTCTGTACCTAGTATTTTCTCTTTTTTTATGCATGTTTTAAGATAAAAGGTCCTCTGTATTTCTCTTGAAATTTATTGAAGTCCAGCTTCAAAATATTGAACCAGTATGATGTCATTTGCATTTCTGCAGTCCTACTGAAGTCAACGTGTATTGGCCAATAATTATGCTGCCTCTTGAGAAATCTGAGATAAATCAGATGATATCTGTATTTGTTTTTAGAAATTGCTTTCATTACTCAAAAAGTTTATGTAGTATATCTGGGCTCCTGGGCATTGATTGTTTTCTAAATGTATTTGCAGGGGTACAGTTGAATGCAGGGGTACATGTCTGAATAAAAACAAGGAAGTTCAAAAAGTTTATGTAGTATATCTGGGCTCCTGGGCATTGATTGTTTTCTAAATGTATTTGCAGGGGTACAGTTGAATGTGCATGTCTGAATAAAAACAAGGAAGCGGTGCTGAAGTTATGCTTCATCTGTGTCTGTGGTGGGTTTTGAGTTCCAAATATTAATATTGCCAACTTGATTTCTGACTTTCAGATATCTGAAGGACCTTGGATACTCCCAAGAAGAGATACATGCTTTTACTGCATAAACCCATAGGAGGATATCATTGTTTGTATAATTCAGTGTTATTTATTTGTCTTCATGAATTTAAATACGTGAGAAATGATTTTGTAAGACTTGAAATTTCACTCTTGGTACCAAACTGTTTCTTGGAAGAAGCATATCTTGGAAAAGAAGTTTTATACTGTGTTTTATCTTCTTTTTGTAAATATTTTTGCTAATATTTAAGTCGCCCAGGGTATTAATTTATTGTAGAGGCAAGCAAAAAAGTGTAGTATACATTATGTCCGATGTTTAATGTTGCTGGTTCATGAGAATTCTGAAATTTGCAACAAGCTCTGATAAAGGTTTTGACTTGATAAAACTTATTATTTCTTACTGTAAAAGTCCAAAGAGCAATACTGTCTGAAATTAAATACTGCACTGTAACTCAGGTAATCAGTCATTGAAAAATTTTCCTTTTCATCTGATGTCTGTATTTGACTTGCAAGTGATCCAGATACATTTCTGGCTTTGTAAACAAAGAAGAAAAGTACCTTTGGTAAAACATAAAATTTACATCAAATAATAAAAAATAATAATTTTACATTACTTCATGTATTTCTGCGAATTTTTTTTGTATTTTTATTTAAGTGTTATAAAGAAAGGTTTCCACAAGCTTAGTACTGCAGCTGAGAACTCAAAACAGAGCCATGGTGTCCCACAAAACTTCCCATGTGACTGATGTCACTTTGTTGTGACACAATCTGAAGACAAAAGCATGACAGCACAGATACCAGGGTCAGGACCACAGAAATATCTAAAAATATTTGACAGGTTGCACTAGTATTAAGTGAGGTTATTTCCATCAGTGTGGTTTTTTACACTCCATTATTAAAAATGACTTGTCATGAGGCAGTAATCTGCAGCCTGATAGGATTTGGGAGAAAAAAGCAGTAGAGCAGCCACTCCCCTTCTAGATGTTGTCATTAGTATAAGTAGGTGTTGTTTTGTGTGACATCTAGTACTGTTTATGTCTTCCTGTTGTGTTGAATGGATATTTCTTCCTCCTAAGAAGCAAGACTAGTGGTTGTGGCATTAATATATTCAAGAAAAATATCTTAATTATACCCTTTAAAAAGGCTAAAATTGCTATCTGATAGTGACTGGCTATGCTTAACTAGACTGTCATCTCTTCAGTGCCCCTCCTCAGTTTATTGGACTTGAAGTTAGAAAAGGATCTGGTTGTCAGTTGTTGCCCATAGGTCACAAGTTATTTCAGAAGACTGTAGTTTAGAGCAGTCATAATTTGGTATCTATAGTGCAGTTAAGTGAAGGGACACTTTTCAAAGTTCCAGAGTAAACTTTCTGCTGAAATAAGCACAATTGCAGTCATAATTTGGTATCTATAGTGCAGTTAAGTGAAGGGACACTTCAAAGTTCCAAAGTAAACTTTCTGCTGAGATAAGCACAATTGTGTGTTTTCCCCAGGACTGGCTCTCAAAACCTTAGGCACTTTGAGGATTTTTCAGATGTAATTTAGGATTAATTGTCATACTTCTAAAAGCCTCAGATATTCTTTGGAATTTTGAATAGATCTGTTATTACTGATAACAGATCTTTGTGTGAGTTGCTCAGCAACAAATGGTCATTTGACATTATTTCAACTTGCTGATCTAGATATGATAGATAACTTGTTCAAAATGCCTGAAGTGAATCTTCTAAGTTTTACTTATATTGTTCTAATATTTGAAAGACTTGTTGCAGGTCATAAATTATATAATGCATTGCTAAAGTGATGGCCACCAGGCTAAGCATCTAAAGTAAAGTGGAAATGGTTTTTGAAGGCAGCAGTGCTCATGGTGTGGCTGCCTGCCTTAGGAATTATCCCAGCCTTAATGCTGGTGTTAAAATGGAGCTGCTGGCAGTCTTGTAATTACCCTTTTTGACTGGTGATGTCATCAAACAGGCACAAAATGTTTTGACTGGAAAGCAGCCCAGTGCAAAAGGATGTGGGGGTGATGGTTGACAACGGCTGAACATGAGCAGTGTGTGCCCAGGTGGCCAAGAACGCCGATGGCACCTGGCCTGTGTCAGCAGTAGTGTGGCCAGCAGGACCAGGGCAGTGATTGTCCCCCTGTGCTCTGCAATGGTGAGGCTGCACCTTGAGTTCTGTGTCCGGTTCTGGGCCCCTTTACTACAAGGATGCCATTGAGGTGCTGGAGCAAGTGTAAAAGAGGTTAACAAGGCTGGTGAAGGGTCTGGAGAGTGCCTCACTCATACGAAGAACAGCCAAGGAGGGAGCTGGGGTTGTTTGCCTGGAGAGGAGGCTGAGACGTTCTCACTCTACAACTGCCTGAAAGGAGGCCACAGCCAAGTGGGGGGTTGGCCTCTTCTTCCAGGCAACCAGTGACAGGACAAGAGGGCATAATCTGAAGCTGCACCAGAGAAGGCTCTGGTTGCACATCAGGAAGAATTTTGTCAAGGGATGTCAGGCGTTGGAATGGACTGCCCAGGGAAGTGGTGCAGTCACCATGCAATAGAATGTTCACGAAACAACTGGACATGGTGCTTACTGCCATGGTCTAGTTGACAAGGTGGTGATTGTTCAAAGGTTGGACTTGATGATCTTAGAGGTCTCTTCCAACCTAAATAATTCTGTGATTCCTGAAAGTTTTCTGTGTTTGTGTGTGAGCTGGTGTTAATAAGGTACATGACACAGCAAATTGTGTGACTTAAAAAACAAGCAAGAGAAACAATGTACTTAAAATATTCAGTTGAGTGCTTCCAGTACATTTCTTCAATACAGTGTTGTGTGGTTAGGTCAGTATCAACACACAAAACAATTATCTCTGCTCATATAAGCACTACCTTATAGCTTTTTAAAATTCCTTTATAGGACAATTTTGAAAGTACCATGATTGCTTTTGTTAAGTTGAGATACTTTCCCACTCTTTCATTCTTTGCATTACATGTTTAGAAGGGGCAAGGGGGTGAAATGACAGGGAAAAAATCATTAAAAAGTTTTAAATACCTTACAGTTCAGTGCTTTTTTATATTTGATCTCCCCAGAGCAGGATTTAGGTTGAAAACAAGTTGTCTAAAATGAGCTGCCTGCGGCAGGGCTATGTTTCCAAGCTCTCTTTGTAATCACTAGAATTCAAATCAGCACAGCCTGTGCAGGTCTTGAGAGTTGGTTCAGCTGTGCTGGATGTGGGATTAAGGGTGCCCAGGGCCATTTGAAATGTTCTGTGACAAGCCAGACCTATCAACAGCATCTTTTGTGTTTGCCTCTTTGTTTTTCCTTCCATTTATGCCTGTCAGACAATGTTGTCTATACATCTGAAGACCAGTTTGATGCCTAAATTTATCTGAATATCTGTGTCTTTGATCACTAGTAATGCGAAGAAATAGTACTGTGAAAGTAGGTTTAGGGTTTTTGGTGGTTTTGTTTTTTAACTGCCTAGGTTTTTCCTTATATGTTTATTTTAAAAAATATATCTGCACTCCTAAAGAGTTAATACTTTTATGATTTTCCTGATCTTACTTTAAGTGGTCCTATTAAAATACCTGTTTTCACACAAACAGCCACAAGAATAAGTTTACTTCATTTGTATTCTACAGATATTTAAATCTATTTGGAGAAGGGGTTATGTAATTTTCCTAGGCTAGTCTGGAGAAATTTGGATTGACAAAACCCCAAACTCTCTGTACCACAGCCCTTTCAACTTCTTGAGCAGATATTATAAATATTAAAGCTGCCAATCACTGAGGAGAAGAAAAATAATATTTTTACGGAGCTGTCCTGGAGTGTGTGATCAGTGTCTTATCACACACTAGCGACTATCTAGTCAGAGTACAAATTTACTTAGTTCTTGGCCAGAGTAAATATTCTGTGGTTGTCTCTTGATACAGTCCTATGAGTATGCAGTACAGATTCTCTTACTTAGCTACCTGCCTTTCATTCATTGATTTTCTTGTTATTGGAAAAATTTCATGTTTTCCCAGCTGAAATTTTAGGGCGGGCCTGCATGCTTAGTTCCCATGGAAACATATTACTGTCTTCACACAAACTGGACATGCTGAGTTGCTGTGGCAACACAGGTAAAAAATTCTAGTAGGTGTAGAAAATTGTCAAGTCCATGCTGGCTGCCAAGCCTGAGCATGTGGCATCTGCCAGGAGCTGCTGCTGGGTGTCCCAGAAGAGAGTGACGAGCTCCCTAGGGTGCAGATGATGGTGTTAAACCTTAAAATGGCAGAATGTTCCTCCCAACTTGCATGTATTTCTGAATTTAATAATGAGAAATGCACTTACCTTGTGTGTTTTGTAACTTCTCATGGGATGTATTGATTCTGTTTTTGATCATTGGGCATGCAGAGGTCAAAGAGGAATGTCTGGATTTTGTCACCAACTTGCAAACATTTCTAACTGAAATGTACCTGCTGGCAATCCTGTGTATATTTGCATCTTCACATAGAAAACGTGATCCTGTTGAAACTATTTTCCCCTATTTGAATTAAGAAATCAGTTTAAAATGCAGTGAGATGAGGTAAGGAAGATCCACTTACTGTGGATTTAAAAGCAAGTAAAGCAAGAAGTTTGAATCAACTTGCAAAAGATACAAAGATATTTATCTGGCAGAAAATGGAAGGGTGAGAAAGCACTTGAGATTATGTGATACAGGAATAAGTGACTTCACTTCATGCTAGTTGAATTGTAGTCATACAAGAGCAGCTTTTGCCAAAGTCTGTAAAGATAGGTATGTTAGTTAAAGCACAGTATGGTAACACCTTTCTGCTCACTAAGTCAGGAGTGGTTCCTGGCTCACTCCCAGTAAAGTGGAAGAAAGTTGCTAAACCAATTGACCAGCTCAGGATGGGGAGAAGGGGCTCATCTTGTTTCCCTTTTGGTCTTGTTGATCTTTGCTTTGATCTTTTCACAGTGCTTTGAACTGTGTCCCTCTTGATCAAATGAAGGTCAGTGCAGAACACAAAGTAATGTTGAGCATCAGCTCCATGGAAGATGAAGAGGAGACAAACCATTTTAGGGAAAAGTCATCTGCTTCAGTTAAAGTAAGGCCTTATCCTGTATTTTACTCATATTAAAATAAATAAATAAATAAGTCGTTTTAAATGTGAACCTATAAGGCTTTGGTTACCTTTTGAACTCATCTCCTAGACTCTTTATTTATATTTGAGCCATAACCTCTCAAAAACTCCACTCAAAAGACCTCTGATCAGGCCTTTGCAGTGGTGTTCTGCAGAGCCACAGATGGTCAGTGAACAAGGGCAAGGGAGGGAATTCTGTATTGATAATATACTGGATGTTTGGTGCATTATTTTTCAGACTTATTTATACATCAGTTTGTCCAGTGACACTAAGCCCTAGTTTAGATTGCCTTGCTTTGTCTCAAAATGCCTCTCTACCCTACTCCCTCCAGCCTAAGGTCTCAAACCATGAGCCTGTATGCCTTATATACTCCACAGCACTCATGACTGGTGTGTGTGTGTGTGTGTGTGTCCCCTGTGCCTCACACTGTGCTCATATTCTTCTCAGGAGCACGCTCCTCTGCTCCATGCTGCTCTCTTTCCTTTCCCCTTAAGCTGCGTAA